GTCGGGGCTCAGTGCGTTGGCGAGTCAGTGACCTTGAATGCTGAACACATGTATGAAAGTCTACTATATCTCGTATGTCGTACCGGCCGTGGAGGAAACGAGGTCGTTCGAATCCCAAAATTTTCGTTTCAACGTCGACCCTACTCGGCGGGGAAGGGAGGCCAAACCCAGAGGCGCGTGGGGGGGTCCCCCTCCTCCTCCTCCTCCTCCTCCTCCTCCTCCCTCCCGGCCGTCCCGTTCCTTGTCCGTGAAGGGAGGACGACGTGCGTGGTAGCATGTGAGGGATGTGGAAGGGCGCCCGGTCGCCCCCGCCCTCCCCGGCGCCCGCCTCTTCGGGTACGCCTTGCCCCTCCCTTCCCTCCCTCCCGTGCGCGGACGCCGGGAAATGTCCGGCGGTTGCTGCGGTGCTTGCTCTGGCGGGTGCTACAGCATGGAAGGATGCGGATGGACGTAGCCATGAAGCGTTTGATTGTCCGCATTGTCAGTGCCTCTTACCTCCTCCTCCTCCTCCACACTCCCTCGTCATCCCGCTCTTACCTCCAAATCTGGTCCACACGCATCCTTTGGTCCTAGCTCCTGCGCCAAAGGCGAAGGGGAGAACGGAGCGGGCGATAAGGGATGTATGGGACTGTCCGCGTTGTCTTCATGGTCGCCTATGTGTTGATCACTCATGTCTGCGGGATAGGCCAGGGGCGGGTCATGGAGCAAGACGAGAGGAAGAATCATGATGAATGCACAGAGAACCGATAGCAAGAAATGATGCACGGGCGCATTTAGATACTCCTTCACTATCTTAAGCCATGTCAACCAGGTGACAAGGCTGGCAGCTTGTTATTTTTTGGAGAACAAACAGGATCGAGATCGAGCGATACAAGCAAGAGGTGCCATACCCTCCCTGCTTGCTGCGAGCAAAAGTGCGGGCGTGAGAGAGACGCATCCAAAAAAACACACCCGACGACGACGATGACAAGGACATGCCCACATCCCTTGTGGACGCACATCCTTCCCACGCGCTTCCATAACCGAAGTACGGGCATGGAGCCTCGTACTGCGGTCCACCCTCACCCACCGAAGGGTCCTTTTCCATCATATTCATATGGGCCGGGGGGGGCCTGGCAACTCGCAAATATAAAGTGCTTCGTGTCGCGCTTAGAACCGAGAAGGGGTCCAGGGTGGGAAATGGAATGCACTTACGGTGACTTAACAGCTGTTTGTAAGGGAAAAGGAATGTCTTTTTGTGACAATCAACGAAGGATTCTTTTCCATTAACCCGTAATATGGGCCACCAAGAATAGACCAGCAACGAAACATGTCCCAGGCATGTCCAGTATGCGCACTACATGTGCTATCAAAGGTAATCATTAAGAAATAGTCATTCCCTCTGTATGTGTTCCCTTTTCCCCGCGCAAAGCAAACAAAGACCTGGCATCCCCGCGGATATCCCACTGCCTCGGGACAGAAAGAGTGGGTTTGGCGTCGGTACGGAGCAGCAAACGTCCCACAGACACTTCTTAACGGCATCAGCATGATTTTTGATGCAAATCACGTAGTTCTCGACTATGCTACGGGTGACTATCGGGCCAAGGTGCTGGGACCGCCCTATTCTGCCGCCCGGGCATCGGGGTTATCAGTAAGTAAATTTGTGAAAATCGACAGAAAGATGCACAAATGACGTTCAGTTCTTCCCCTCCACCGTCCTTTGTCCACAGGGAAACGACCGCGCCGAGCTTGTTCAAGGACCACACGCTGTGGAACACCAGAAGCCGCACCCACAAGCACGACGAGGCAGTCCTCCGGCTCGAACCTCCAGAGAATACCCTCCTCCCTCCTCCTCCTCCTCCTCCTCCTCCTCTTCCTCTTCCTCTTCTTCTTCCTCCCTCGTCCCTTCCTTTCTCTCCTCCGAAGAGGGTGGCTCCCACCCCCTCTCTCTCCCTGCCTCCCTCCCTCCTCGCCGTCACGATAAAATCCATCCACCTCCTCCTTACACTCTTATGTGCGTTGGCACACGTGCACATTCGTCCACAGCCACCCATGAATCCGGGGAAAGAGAGGGAGGGAGGAAGGGCGGAAGGGCGGGCGGGCGG